CATATGCAAACCACAGAAGAGATATGGTTCGCAGAGTCGAGGGTGGAATTGTAGTGGTTGCATTCTCTAATTCAAGGGTGTCTATTCTAGGTGTGGAAGAGTGTTTATACCTACCTCTCTAGGGGTCACGGGATAAGTGGGGCCGTCTGCCACGTCTCCAATGCAAGATAAATTGCTCAGGAGTCAGGCTCCGAGACTGATTAGCGCCAGAGCAAGAGCGACAAGGCTACCAACTCTATGCAGCGTAGAAAAGAGACATAATTGATTCACGATACTAATGCGTCCTCGTGTTTGTCACAGGTTAAGCCATTTGATTGCTGGTTTTATTCACTTTCAACAATGCCAATCACCTTTCTTAAGCTTTTTTCCCCCAGATGAGACAAACTTTCTTCTAGAACGACCTATAAACTTATCTGTTGCTGCTCAGCACCAAAATCCAACAGAAAAAGAGGCTGCTACGTTGAACAAGAGATTAGAATAGCAGATCAAGAACTTAGATCGAGGACTCAAGTACATTGCTCTAAACTTATCTACGGCGAAACTCTTCGTCTTTATCAACGGTTCATTTGCAAACAACAAAAATTTTAACTCCCAAATTAAATATAAAATCATTCTAGCAAATAAACGACAATTGAGCGATAAGGAGTTCGAGATCAAAAGAAACTTTATCCACTATAGCTCTACTAAGAGCAAACGCGTCACTAAAAGCGTCCTAGCTTCGGAGATATATGGTATAGTAGGAGGAGTCGATATGGCGATTGCAATCGGATTTACTATCGATATGATCACCCAGCAACTCGATATCTTTAATATCTCGACAATCGTTTGCACAAATTCATATTCGCTCTACGAGTGCCTAGTCAAGCTAGGAACGACCAAGGAGAAGCGTCTTATAATCGGTATTATGGCCCTTCGTTAATCGTATGAGCGCAAAGAGTTGCAAAAGATTCGGTGGATCAACGGTTAAGATAATCTAGAGGATACTATAACGAAGTCAACACTTAATAAAGGTTTAAAAAAGTTTCTGGATACGAATTACCTCAAGATCTGAATAGAAAGATGGGTTAAGAGAGGAGAGAACGGTAGAGATAGTGTAGAGAGCTAGATAGGATGCTCACTGAGAGAGAGAGGAGAGAATAGGGGAAAAGTGATTTTTGCATTGTGTTTTGGAAGTTTTTGCTGCTTGATTTATGAGGCCAAGAAAGGGGGAATTACCCCAACCTCGGCGCAGTAGGCTCTTTATACAACATCGCGAGGTCGGGTTTCTCCCAAATTTAGCGATAGCATGATTTGTAATTTCTAAAATCCCTAGTCGAAGAGGCAGAGCACAAAATCTCGAGGCTTCTGTTTTCGGTTAATTATAAACAAACCCCCTCCTTCCCACCTCCTCGTCTTTGCCTAACCTCGACATAATCTTTCCTCGTCCAAGCTGTCCCACACTCTTTCGCATAATCTAGCTTATACTCGTGCATTCGCGATCGGATCCGTTCTTGCAAGTGGTTTGCAACCCTCTTGCCAATAATCCCGTCGTGGTCTCCTCGCCATTGATCCCCAATTTATCGTTAGCGCAATCGTATCGGTCTATAAGACCTCAGCTACTCGCCCACATCTCAACTAATACAAGTGAATTTCGAACACAGATTTATTAGATACAAGCAACAAGGACAAACTCGTGAGTCTCCTCTAACCTTGAACTGAGTCTCATATTAATCAACTTTCAAGACATCCACATCCTCTCGAAACACTATCCTCTCCTTGATCAGCTGTTCTTTCATCAACTTCAAACACCCCACTAGCATAGACAACGCTAATTCTAACGCTGCCGCGAACGACTTGGGCACCCTGAGCACCCTGAGCATCTCGGCATGTGACTTTACATTCCTATTTCTTAGCTAATCACATTTAGTCTAACCTAGCGTTCACTTATATCAAACTCGTCAAGTTTTGAAGACGATGCTAATAGAGCCCAAGTAAGCTCCCAGGGTTCTCAAAGTGGACACCTTCCAAAATATACCCAATGCTTTGTCTACGTTATAAGAATTCTATTCCATTCCTATTCCGCCCCTATTTCGTTCTATCCTCCCACTAATCATACCACGTATCCATAGGCCGGGTCGCAACCAATCCAATAATTTCAAGTAAGATTACCGTAATTCAACGTAGGGATGCTAACCTTACCACTTCATGCATTCCCCCACGGTCGGATAACGTTTAGAACGGCTTGGCTTTCCTCTTTAGGACGGCCTCCGAAAGCTGAACATGTTCATTTACGGTCATACGTGACCTGTAGTCAGACGAACTTCCTGAATCGTTATTCATTCATGGATGCATCGCGACCACGACCATTCTCTCGATCCCCAGATTTGGCTCTGTAAGCTCTCGGATTCCTGTGGTCGCAGGATTGATACTGTGGCTTGTATGCTCAGGCCCTGCTCGGGTCCTGCCTAGGCCGTGATCAGGCTATGCTCAGGATGCTCACCCTCGGCTCAGGTTAAAGCGGCCGCTACTCAGGTCCGTAGACTAAAACGGAACCTGCGAAAGAAAAAATTAATCCTGAGTCTGTGGGTATTCTTCTGAGAACAAGACTCCTGCCAAAGACTCGAGTAATTGGGATCTTGGTTTGGTAGAAGTTGGCCTCAAGTCGTAGTCTCCTTCTCCAGAAGATGCAGAAAATCGACGTTCTTCATCAACTTTCGTAGAGCTTAGTGTGACTGCATCGGCCTTTTCGTTCGTGACTTGCCGCTTCGGCTTCTGACTTGCCGTCAGTGGTGCAGGTGCGCCATCAACGTTGCCCAGAGCAAGTTTTGAACCTCCTTTCGCTCCGGATTGTGTCTTCTTTTGAGGAGCAACTTTTTGAGATGCAGGCCTGGGCGGTGACTGTTGTTCTACCGGCTTTGTGGTCTCTGGTTCTCTCGTGGGGAATCTCTTGCTCATATTCGTCGTTCTTCCAGATCTAAATCGTAAATTCTGTTTCATACTTGCAAAATCCATAATTCTTCACTGAAAGGTACTATTTTGCTCACGAAACATCGCCAGCAGCATAAAAATTGATAGATGTGCCTTGCACATGCTATCCGACGTCAAATCCATGACGCTTATCAAAAGAGACCCTTCCCGATATGCTACTGCAGGAACAAGAAAATACCGACTGGACAAGACAAGTAAAAAGACCTAGATTTAGGTTTAGTTCATTGCCATTCAGATCTGCTCGAAGGTTTGAATAAGGTTGACGAGATATTTCCCCGAGGCAGACTAGTCGAAGCAGGCAACATCATGACATTGAGAGCTGGATCAAATGCTTCGAGACGCCCATCATCTTGACTGAATTCATGTATCTGCTCGAATTGTAAAAAGGAATCGGCGCAGCTGACAAACAATACCATCCAGCATGATGAGTTTGAGAGGACGTCGGGGAAGGTGAGGAAGAGGCGGCGAAGAGAAATTTGAAAGAGCAACCCTCCCGCTTTGCTGGACCATGCTCCGTCTGTGCGAAATAAGCGACACACCAAAACAGCTCCCACCAAAAACACCAATTTTCCTCATCAACACCCTCATTATGGAGGACTCTAGAGA